GGTATTGACTGTTTTGAAAATGTTCGGGAGGATTTTTTAAGGTTCACTGTAGGTATTCTCTCCAAACATAGTCATTCATTTTTCAAACTTCTGAATTTTTTGGAAATATTAAAATTTGCTTAGCTTGTTAAAGAATAATAAAATTCAGATTACGTTAATGTATAATATTTTATGAGCCCAACCCAGAGTATATTTATACGCATGTCTATTTTTCTATTTAGCTTTAAAAAGGGTAAAATGTTCTTAAAAACGCAATTATTTCAACTACCAGTATCACTGTGTTGAATTTCCCATTCATGAAAAACGTTTTACAATAATTAATACTTATATAAGTAAATCGTGCTACATTTGTATTAGTATTATTGTATAATAAAGTGCTATAAATATCTTGAATAGCCCCATTTACTTTCGTGAATCTCAACAAATAATTACCAATTGTAAATTACTAAATATTAGACCATAATCATATCTCATTAACAGTTTATTTAGTACCTAGGTAATGTACCTACTACACCAAACTATGTTTTACTAGATTCTCCATTGTGACTTTAAAATACAATAAATTATGTTTCAATTAATATAATCATAATTGATTATAATTGATCTATTATTGGATTATCCCCCTCAATAGATCCAAATCATATCAAGCTATTGGATCTTACTTGAGCTAAGGCAACGGAACTTTCTATCATCACAATAGAAACGCAATATTTCATAAGCGACGTAATTTTCATGACGTAATAAATGTCAGAATCTATTTATTTTGGTTCAATGATGCACAACATTATAATTTATTTGTAGTACGATTGACTGTAATCTTCACACAGTTGAAATAACAATCATACCCTTACCGTCTGATCGTTTTGTGAGTTTTCAAAGAAATATATCGTGTGTACCGATGCCAATGATATTTATGAGAAAAAAAATCATGGAACCAATGTAAATTAAAAAAGCTTAGGTTGTGGTGCTGGTGTAACGACCTATGTGAAAAATAATAATAGAAAAGTAATAATTAAGAGTAAATTTACGGTTTATTCAAATATTTCGATGAAAAGTATGTAAGTCTGGTTGTTAACAATCAAAAATTWTTTTAGAACTATTAAACTCCACGAACCTTGCAACATATTTATGTTTTTAATACATTTTATTTTTATATAACTTATTATAGATAATGCACATATATTTTTTTTTTTTAAGAAAAATTACTTCTTTTCTAAGACTTATTTAACTCAGAATTTTTCATTACGCGAATCTTATATAATTAACATCATCGTAAAATATTTGTGTATTATGAGTATTTCTTATATTCAATATATATTATACATTTTGACGTAATGCAACTGTAAATAATACAAAGATCAATAAGACTTGTTGTTTGGTGTACGATCTTCATAAAATAAAATTATTAAAAATTTGAAGTCAAGATCACAAAACAATTTCTATTTTTCAAGTGTACCTAAGATGCATTTTTACAATAATGAAATTATAAGTTTTAATAATGTGATGGCGACGACTAATTAGTAAAAATGTCTTACATAATATTATATATATATATTCGCTAAACAACAATATTTAATCAAATTCTTTTATTTTTTAGGGTTATACGCACTCAATGTCTTCTCTTATCAATTGTTATCACAAATGTTTCCACATTTCTTAGATGTTCTATCATTATTTATATGTATAAGCATATTATATACACAATACTTACACACAATATTATTATACTAATGAACAAACATTAATTAATAATTATTTTAATAGCTACGTGCGTAACTGCACTATATATTTTGTGGCGATAATGAAATAATATTTATTACAAGGTCAATAATAATTAATAAGTAACAAATGCATTTTTAAGTAATTTGTTCATTATTTTATACGAATAAATAAAATTATATGTATATCTCAGGTCGGAGACTATTCGAAACAGATATTTAATATTTTTTTTTGCTTTAAAAATCAGGAAATCACTGCGTTATAAATATACCGGAACCTAAAATTAAACTTAATTATTTTACTGGTAATGTTTTATTTGCAATGCGTTTGTGTTAAATGTAAAAATTAAAACTGTGGCATTCCCGATGTGAATGTTTGTGAACCACGAGAGTACAAAAATTCGTATAACGTATACGCACACGAAAACGTAGGTCCACCTTTCGATGGTCTATGAATCAAATCTGTACCACATATTATGTAAGGCTAGTGGAAAAAAATTCCACTAAATGTTTTCAGAGAATCATCGAACCAGATCGATAATTCAGTTTGTATCGCACAACACACATATTCATACTATATATACATACAATTCAAATCTTATTTATGTTCATGAAATCCGGACCAAAGAAAGTGCTTTTGGGTATTTTGCACTGAATCATTATGTCGGCGACGTTTTAGTTACGATAAGATAAAATKAGATGTTTGTTTKTATGTCCGGTATACTCCTCTAGTAAGTAATTTCATTTTAACAATRCATAAAATAACAAGTAAAAGTAATTTACGGATCAAGGCGTGGAAATAAAATGACTGACGTCCAATATCGTTCGAAGGATTTTGGGCTRTAATATAAACATTACAAACAAAGCCTATTAAGCTTATATGCATTAGACGAATTCTATCACAATTCCAAATGATAATGTTAGATTTAAAATGTGTTGTATCACTTTAACTTTAGATTTTAATATAATGGAAATAAATACATCGTGTGATGCTCTTTTAATTTTACGATTTGATACGTGCCAGAGTACACATTATAGGTATACCGTAAAGCGTATAAGTCATAGCACACGTTCGGCTATGACTACACAACATAGATTCGAAGTATCAATGCTGTTTTAGCATACGACTATTAAAGTATCCGATTAATAGGATAATACTATTGTATTATTTATATTATTGAGTGCGTGATTCATCATCAAACGAAATTCATATTAGTATCACTAGTAATAATTATAATATAACCTATATTATTATAGTTCGACATTCGTAGGTAATATTATTTTAATATCATCGTATCAAATATAATTGTTTTAAAACGATCACATCATATTTTATTAGGTATGTTTGTTTTCGAGTACAGTAATACCTATATGTATTATGAACACCGGAGAAGTGTATTGCAACAATGTGTTTAATGATTAAAACGTTGAGTTTCGATTCTATGGATTTATAAATGTGCATTAATATGTAGTTCAATCCGTAAAATAAATATTTAACACAGTTTTCATACTAATTTAGCCAGTTAAACTTCATTTGTGCACGATCTCGTTGCGTAAATTATCCATTCTAAATATTTACTTTTTAAAATATTCATTAAGTAACTATAATATATATATAGAGTGTATTAGAGTGATTAGAAAACCGTTATATCTAAGGCTCAGACAGTTATACTCGTTGATTTGTGATTGAAGTCGAACAAAGTATAAATTCGTATCATAGTTGTTTTTTTTCGTTACAAAACATGGATACAATATTTCTAAACTAAATTATATGCCACGAATATTTCGTCAATATCTGTTGAATCAAGTCGCATGTCCATTAAATAATATTATATTGGGGGGTTCTGACTATACCACTACATCTTCCTTGAATACGCCTCTGTACTATAGCTATTGAATTTGTCACGGCCTTTTTAGTTGATATTTATTTTATGATTATATAAATTATAAGTTCTAATACCTATAAAAAAAAAAAAAAATACGAGGCTATTTGTAAACGGCATATTCTTTGATATATCTATACATAAAATGTTTTCAAAAAAAAAATTTTAATTTATAAATCATACATATTATAACATGAAAAGTTTTAAAAATCTAGCCGGCAACATTATACAAAAAACCATTCATCTACAACAAGTACGTTGTACGCAATAATGAACATACATAGCTTATTTATTTCGCATTGTTTAAAATAATACCTACTTAAAACTCTTACAGCATAAGCAGATAATTTATCTGAGATAAATACTATAGAATTATATTATTAATTTTTAATAATTATATACTTATATTCATATACTATAGTATACTTGTTGGGGTTGGGATGATAACTATATACTATATAGTCATAACATAATATATAAGTACTTATATATTATATGGCATGGGTGAAACATAAACAGTGATACCCTGCGAAATACCTCAAACGTCATAAAACCTAAATGGATAGTATTATTTGCGCGCACACAACACACGACATAATTACCTATACTCTACTCATATTAATATCATCGTTTCGGAGTATTTAATCGACTTGACAGGGTACCTATTGGCTATTATAGCACACATACCTACAAGCGGGCTAAACTACAACAAAGCAATTTTTGACACGGGACGGTATAATATGTTATAATCTATCAAATGTCCATCGCTTGTCCCAGTGCGACGAGTTTTTCGACAGTCGAACGTTTGTATGATCCGTCTGTATAACACGTCAGGTATTATTATTCATATATTTTACTGAACATCTCGAGTATCAGGCTACATCAAGGGCGTATTTGTGATGAAGGGAGATGATTAGAATTCTTTCCGTCTATCTCTCTTTTTTTTTTTTTTTTTTGTTTCTATTGTACGCACCAATTATAAGGTACTTAATATAAAACAGCATTACACTACAATACATTATTTTATCATTTTATCAGATGACTCAGATGAGTGAATAGTTAATATTTTTGGCTTATAATCATGCCATATTTAAAAAAATTTAAAACTACTAAAATGTATTACGTTTATTATTATTATTATTAAGTAAAATTTAAACATAGACATTTAAATTTCCATACCTCTCTACTCTGCCTATAACAAAAAATCTAAATACACCCTCGGTCTACGTTAATAGGTAGGTACTATATTAAAAAATATCTTAATACTATATATCTATTGTCTATATAATAGTAAATATATTGTACAAATCAAAAGTGCATAATGATAACACAACATAAATAATATTGTAAACAAGTTAAACTAAAACTAAATGAAGCAATAAACTATGAAATTACTTACCTACGGCACTATCGTAGCGGATATATCAGCTTCTTTCACGCAGCTTATTTACTTATATCGATGAGTGTCACTAATCGAGTTACTCTATGTATTAAGTAATTAAATTATATTAAATTGATACTTTTTTTGTTAATGCTATACAGTTAAAATATCATCTACGATACGGCTAAAAATATGTATAATTACAGTATAAGGCGGGAGTTGATGACGACAGTAATAATAATAACAACAACAACAACACTAATATAATATTATGCGTTTATAACAATGTGTTTTATGGTATTTAATCGGATAGTTGTTGCGCCGATTGTAATTTGTGTTACGTACGAATTTAAAAACGACGCGCAATCCTTACAGGAGAGAAGAACACGACAACGATTTTATGCTAAGCACGTGAATTGTATCGCATGATGAACTCGATGTATATATTTTATTCTATGAATTGTGGAAAACATTAACGAAAATAGGTCAGCTAAATTATTATTGTTATTATTTTTTTTTTTTTTTTTACAAAAAATACTATATATAAGTTAACAATGAATACATATATATAAAAATATATACATATAGGTATGTATTTATATATATATATATATAATATGATTGTGTTTAAGAGCTGCACCGACACTACTGGTTATAAGTGTGTTCTACTGCTAAAATGCTGCTGGCCGACTGGGGATTACTCGCGGTGTACGCGCGCTACGACCCTTTCGATTGCCCGCGACCAGCGGTGGCAGCGCAGAACGGTTGAAAGTCGTGTCAACAGGGTGAGCCACCGTACGGAGGCGTCGGCGACGTCTCTGCCGGGGCCGCGTGCAATGTAATAACCGGCGTGGCCCGTACTTTGCTCAGCAACGCGATTTTCTTTTCTCCTTTTACACGTCTCTCTCTCTCTTTCTCTCCTTCTATCTATGTATCCTCCTCCCACCCCTCCCATCCATAGGCGTGCGCAGACTTTATTCGCAGGAGATGCCAATATAATTCAAAATAACACAATTTAACTCTCTTCAAAAAAAAACACAAATCAGAATTTTTTCCTAAAAAAATGTATTACATAACTACAAAACTCTCTGTTAMGTTTGTCATAAAAATTATGATAGTATTGATAGTTTTCATTATTAAAAGTAAAAACATAAAACAAGCTATCTGAGCAGACTGCAGGGGATACCTACCATGGCATACCCGGCATCYCCCCTGTGCACACCTACGCACCCCTTCGCCATCTTCTCGGACCACGCAGTACTGATAAATATATATTTATAACATAAATACATATAACATATACACATAGTCTCATAATCGGGGACCACAAAAGACCCTACACCCTATCATTCTGAAATCTTTAGTTGAGCCACGTCAAACTATATTAATATATACTCGTACAGTCGTACTTAAACGCACGCCTTATGTGTGTTATGTACAAAGTATTGTATTATACGTGTGCCGGGGGATCGAGAAACATCYTTTAYTTTACARAAAAAAAKTGCCATTCCAACAACACACGTGACTGCCTAGGACTTTTGTTTCGGACCTATTTAAATATATACGAGTACCTACCTACCTATATATTATGTATAATATATTATATTTTACGATCACAACTCCGACATTTTGTCCAGAAAACCGCAAAACGCTGTGACGGACACGTCATGACCATCACGAAATCGTAATAGGTTATATTATATTATTAACTAAATAGGTGGCTTCCGAAATGTAATCGAGCTAGACTCGATTTACTATACACACTGCAGTAACTATGTATCTTTTTGTGGCATTGTAGGAAAAAAATTTAACACCCCAATATAACCTACAATAATCTCTAGTATAACGTGAACGAGCTCAACCCATTCCTCAAAAAAAAAAAAAACTAGACAATAATAAACGGAGATTTATAAAYTTATATTTTGAAATCTTGAAGTTCTGGGTCTATTGTATATTATAAGCTTTATTGCTATTAATTTAACGTGACTTTAATATTTTAATAGTAATGTACAAAATTACCGAGTTCCTCCACCAATCCCTAGGGCGAAACGAATAACGTTACAACTAACAAACAAGTGCTCAAATTCATAAAATAAATTAATATATATATATATATTGCATACCTAGTAATTTTTAAACAGAAATTTATACCTGTAAAGAATACCTTAACGATCATTAATATCATATTATTATTACTAAAAGCCAATATGGGCTATGGCCTAGTTGGAAAGGCTTATTTTTAATTAAAATAATAACACTATACCTAACCATTGTACTTCGTAAAAGTTCTGACCACAATATATTCAAGTTTGAGTTTAACGTTTTCACTTAAATTTTTGTCGGCAAATTATCGACGTGGAACAWTAATCAAAGGCCGTAATGTATATGTTTAAAATTAAAAGAATAAATATAATCAAACAACCAAATTTCAATTTTATTCTCAATTAAAATATTTTATTATTTTAWGAACAATTAAAAATATATTACAAGTGCCCACATTCATAAAAGAAAATAGAGTGCAAGAAATATATTTTTAAGGAGGGGTAGGTGTGTTTTGACCATACATGGAGCCCACTCCTATCTCTCCTTCGACCCACGTAGTTCCACCAATGAACTACACAGAGCAAACTAATTTAATGGTTTAAACTCACTTGTTTCTATTTATTTTTTTAAATCAATAAATTTATGTGTACGTGTGCGTGTACGTATAATACGCACACATGCTACACATTACACGTAKTATATGTGTAGGGTCTTCAAAATTGTATGTTATAAAAACGGTAGGGTTTGCATGCGAGAGTCTACACATATTTTATTTTAGCAAATAAGAGTCCGGAGAGTTTGGCCGCTCTTTAAGTCCCCTGTCCATTATTTATGGTCTACTTACGGCAATATAATATGTATATTATTAAACTATAAAAAATATCAYATCATTTGAGTATTTTATAAAAGTATGTTTTATTGGCTTTTATTAGATGCTTCACGTACACTTAAATACTTAATCTAATTTGTCTTAACTCAATTTGAAACGAAATATTATGTTCAACCACCGTATCGACAACAATACATTACATGATAACAGTAAAACGTGATTTTATTATCTATTGCCTACTTAGGTGACTATTTAAGATAGAAAGAAATTGCATTGTACGTTTTTAAAAATTTAATATGGGTAATATTTTTAACAGTAAAAAACAATAAAAATATGTAGTTACTATATGTAGGTATTATATTCAATCACTGTTATATATTATTATGTTGTTTCTTTACAATTTAAATAACCTAAAATAATACAATTCATAACTTATTATTTTAATATTTCTATTTTATGCTTACCGCCATAAAAGGTCAAGAGTTGGGCACCTATGTTATAAGTGATAAGTTATAATGCATTTCAATAACACAATAATAATCTGGTGATATTATAAATAAGTACACCCATAAGTCTGCTTTCTCATTATTTTCTAAGCAAAGTTATTGTTACAACATAATATTGATGTGCCATTAGGACCCATAAAAAATAATTATAATCCAAACTATTTGATTCATTTTGAGGACTCATTCAGACCAGATCATATTGAAAACATTTCCCTCGTTTTAATATTGAACTCATGAGAACAAAAATTATAATAAACCRAACCTTCATCAGTATAGATAATATTTTAATACTTAGGAATATAAATATTTTTTGAAAATTGTAATTGGATATTATGAGTTATGATCCTGATTGACCTGAATCGTATTTCATATTTTGTAATTAGTTTATAACCCCTCCCCCCCGCCGTTCTGTCGTATCAAAAGGTAATTCTGCCGTGACCTGTTAAAATTAATTAATTTACCTTTACAATCAAATGTGTCGATGATAAGTGATTTGTATCCAAAGTCATACAAATTAAAATGTGCTCAAAACAAAATCTAATAATATGCTTCTTGATTACRACTATTTTACAAATAAAAAATTATAGATCATAAAAAATATACTACAATAATAATATAGTATATTATAATTAAAAAATTATTATATTGTTTTTTTATTGAGAATAAGGCTTCAAAAACTAGGTCATTAGCCTACGGTTATATATACAATATTATTTATGGATACTTTTGTTATGATTAGGTATATGTTACATTATTACAAATTAAGGGGCGTATATCGATTCCGCCGATTTTATATCAACTCCACCGGCTATTGATTCCGCCGRCCACTGTTTATAATATCTACATATCGACTCCGCCGGCTATTGATCCCGCCGGCTACTGTTAATTATAAATTTATAATATCAACACATCGATTTCGCCGGACACTTTTCATCCCCCCCCCTTCCCCATTGTATATGTATTTTAAAACGTATAGTCTAATTAGAAAGTTTCTAAGTTCACTTATTTAAAATA